AGGAGAGAGAGAGAGAGAGAGAGAGAGAGAGAGAGAGAGAGAGAGAGAGAGAGAGAGATTGCATTGATCAGTTGCCTCCACCATGAATGAATTAGCTGTCATATTCGTTTTTGCGAGCGAAGCCACAAGATGTCATCTAGTCTTATATAAGAGATAATAAACATGCATAAGAGGACTAACGATATCTATCAAACAGAGAAGATGATGATGACCTCCTCCTCCACCTCTATTGCGGTGGGATGAAGTGTAGGGTGTTCGTTTGACAGCTGGCTAGGAAAGTTGGGAGGAGGGAAGTAGGGGAAAGGACGGTCAGGATATTCCTTGCTTATTATCGTATTCGATGCATGATTGGCATTTTGACTCAATTGGGGTTGGGGTTGGGTCTGGGTTTTGGGTTTGTGTTGTGTTAATCCTTGACTGCAGGCGGTCGCACCAGCGCTTGAAGACAAATTGGGACCTCTCGCAGCTCCGTTCTCAGTTGCAGGACCAATTCACCCCTACTTTGTAGAAAGGTAGATAAGCAGGTGTTGGGGTTGTCGGATTCTCTCTTCTCCTTCTATACCTCGTCCGCTAACCCCTTGTCAACCCCTACCAACTAGGCCGCCTGGGTCACCTTGGATGCCGAAGCAGCCCGGCCAGGCAAGGGCCAAGGAAGGTTCCAGCCAAAAAAGAAAACCCAAAAATCGGGGAAAAAAACATGTTACGCAAATAAATCAACTGAACAACTTTTTTTTTTTTTTTTTTTTTTTTTTGGAAGGATCATTAGCTTTATTTAAGTTTATTACAAATGAAAGGAGGCCGGGGATTCCTCACAAACAACCTGGAAGATATGACCAATAACCCTAATTGGGCTGTTGCTGGAAAACGGGTCCAGCGTCCCTTCCTTTCACAGGTCTATCCTCTTCTTCCAAAATCCCTTGAAGCTCAAAGTAATTTCGTGTAGAAACAAGGCACCATCCTACTTAGTGCTAAAATTCAGTCTGTGCCAACTAGCAGAACATTGCAGTGTCGCTCATCGCTACTAAACTTCTATCAAATCATGCTCAGTTGCCTAAATCGGCAATATTGCTTTCCACCGGGATGCAAGCAAACGGCTAAGCCGTTAGAAATTAAAAATACCTATAAGCTCAAAGACCAGGAACTAGGCAAGAAGGATAAGCTGTAGGGTTACCCTCCTATCATCACTGTCCAACACACTGTAAAGGGCCTTTGTTGCCTAGACGGGTTTCCCACCACGCACCCAATGGATACAACTCTAGTTTGCTCTTCACCGGGTCTCTCATATCGTCCAACCATTGGTGTTCCCACTGCTCCTTCATGCTAACTACTCTTGTACTGACTACAATCGACTAACGCTCCCACCACTGACGATGACACTCACACTGCCCCCGTAGTGCCGCTGTCGGTAATCAAAATGGAAAAATAAGCTGTAGGGATACCCTCTCATCATCACTATCCAGAACACTGTAAAGAGCCTTTGTTGCCTAGACGGGTTTCCCACCACGCACCCAATGGATACAACTCTAGTTTGCTCTTCACCGGGTCTCTCATTTCGTCCAACCATTGGTGTTCCCGTTGCTTCTTCGTGGTAACCACTCTTATAATAACCACAAAGAAAACCAACTTGCCGAGAGGCAAAAATACCTAAGACAGACAAGGTTAAAGAAATCACAGGTTTACTCCCATGCATCGCAGATACGTGTTTCTAAAAACGAAACACTAAGAGCAACCCCCGCGATAAAACAGAGACAGTAAACATTTTACTTCGCAAGGGAATCAACAGACAACTAAGCGATCAAGAAAATGCAATACCCTCAAATACGACTGACTAGCCTAGAAAACGACTAAAAGACGGAGAGTATGTTCTAGACTTTATAACTGGATATGGCCACAAGGACAACCAGGTTCAGTGTTCAACAGGGAAGAGCTAAAATTTTTTGACAACTATGACTTATACCCGGGAACAATCCTACCCTAAAATACGAACAAAAGAGTTGTGAATCTTGCGATCGAAATTAAGCCCACAAAAGAATCAAATTAGATGAGAAAAGGGAAGGGGTCATGAAGAGAACATGAAGAAAATGCACATAGGATGTGAAGGAGACAGACTAGGGGTTTCATTCGAGTATCTCGACATCTTGAGGCAAACACTCGACTAGATATGTGAACAAATGACCTGCTGGAGTACCAAAGCTAACCTAAACTATACCTACATGCGAACAAGATGTGCAGAAGGAGACTTACAAAATTAATAAATTAAACACCTATCTGGGTGCAACACGGCGCCATTCCTGCTAGTACCATGACGCAAGGCGCTTTATTCCATCCTTTCAGACTGCCTTGTGATGTAGATTGATCAGACGAGACTTGCTGGAGCCCTTGGACATGCCGAAGCGCTGCCACCACAGCCGAACGCTCTCCCACTGCGTCCGGATGCGCCGCTCCGCCTTCCATGCTTTCCCTAATAATCAAGGCAGTCCATATGGCGTGTCATGAAAGTACAGCGCACGGCCTTTGGATGGTGAGAAAGGAGTCCCCCTTTTCCAGCAACAGGCTTGAGGGGAGGACGGCTCCTCTGGTGTCGAGATTCTGTCAGGTATGAAGGTTGGTATGGAGGTCAGGTGCGGAGCTGCCAGGGTGCCTTGGCGTAAGAGTGCAAGGCTTGAGTGCTAGGCTACGCAGGGCACTGTCGCTGTAGCTCTCACACAGCTATGGTGCCTGGCAGGGTAGGCGCCTCGTGGAAGAGGATCAGCGTCTACATGCCCCACCGTTGCGTCTTACTCAGCCACCACCGANCTGGCAGGGTAGGCGCCTCGTGGAAGAGGATCAGCGTCTACATGCCCCACCGTTGCGTCTTACTCAGCCACCACCGACGACCGGGCGCCGCCACCGCCACTATCGCCGCTCCGTTAACGCACATTTCGCGCGGCCCTCCTGCTGAGTTGGTGAAACTTCGATGAAACAGTCTGTCATAGCCCCTCGTTTGTTGTCCTCTTTTCCCTCTTTGCCTACGGCTTACCAGACACTGTTGTTTGACAATATTATCATTTGTTTCACAAAGTGCACTTTTTTAGATCATAGATATGTGACCAGGGTTGCCGGCGTTCGGGACGGGCCGAACACCTGAACCCGAACGCCCGAACGTTTGGGACCCCCTCTCGACGCGTTCGGACGTTCGGCCGAACGCGGAACCAAAAAAAAA